AATTGTGTAATTGTGCTCGCTATGCTCCATGGCACGCAAATAAAAAATGCAATTTATATAAGTATATGTAGATACATATACAGAATTATATATATATATAGATATATATACATGTACACAATTGCGGTCTCGCTAAGGTCGCGTGTCGCCATTGTCAGGCTATTTTATTTAGATAGTTGCTAGTTGGTGAGTTGGTTAGTTAGACGATTGCTTTTCTAGTACTAGCCACTCCTCGCTGCTGCCTGTCCGTGAAATTGGCATGAAAGCAGCGGGAAATTACAAGGGCTCAGCATTGCCAATTGCACAGTGGTGAGACAAAGAGAAAAATCTAGTCAAAAAGGTAAATTATTTAATATATTGATGTGAAATAATTTACTTAAAGCCAGGACTAATTCTGACTCTCCATAAGGTTTTAGATTTGTTTTAAATTCGTAATAATTTCATAGAAAACGTAGTTTTGATAAAAAGAATAATCTAGCCGAAAATTTACAATAACTAATACTTTGAAACTTCATTTTTATTTAAAGTTTAACTAATTCTGTCTCTCCATAATTATTGACATTAAAAAAATGTAGTCTAGACAAATTCATATCTAGTCAAAAATTTAAGATATACTTTGGAAAGAAATAATTTACTTAAAGCTAAGACTAATTCCGTATCTCCAAAATAATAAAATACTTTTAAGTGAAATAATTTATATTTTTATTTACACTTCATATAGATATCTTTATATCTTTATAATGCTCTAAATATGCTTTAAATTTTTAACATTTTAACATTTTTGACATCAATTTATTTAAAACTAAATAAATTTGGTTACCCAAATTCAAGGTCTCTCATCTATCCTCTCGTTATGTTTAATCAGCGCAAATCACATTTACAATTTATATATAAGTTTTTGATGTCAATTCCAACAAAGTTCTCTAAGTCTTTGCTAATTCTAAGACAAACCTTTCATGTAAAAGAAAAACTCAATTTAAATATGAAGAAAATACCATACACACCATACAGTCATGATACAAAAATGTGTATTTAAACTACAAATATGTATGCAACATATAATTATTGTTATCCATTACAAAATGCTATCCTGAGAGCGTCAAATAATATTTGTAGCCACGGTGCACACGAAAGGCGTTTTATGAGGGCTTGGCTTGCGTTTTCGTTCAGTTTCCATTCAAGTAGCATTGCATGACTGCATGCGAGCCGCGTTAAGAAGCGGCAAGCAATGTCCTTTGTGTGTGGCAGCTGCTGCTATTCCTTGGCGTGCTGCTGCTGTTGCGGCTGTCAGTGCTATTTAGAAGTTAAAGGGCCTGCCTTGAATGCCATTTCATTCCAGCACTTTTACAACATTCCCACGGCGAGTCGCACTTCCACAATCCATACTTCCAGTATTGGCGAACCCAATTAGACAAATGAGCAAGCAGGCAATGCCTGCGAAAGCAACACAAAATACTACTTAGTGCATACAATTTGCAGGCATGCATGTGTGTGTTTATGTTTATGCATATGGCAACGAATCTGGGTATCGTACTTGCCTTAAGGCAGACTGAGAGAGAATGAGAGAAAGGGAGACGGAGAGAGCGAGAGCATTTCAAGGTGCAATGCATTTGCTTAGGTTTGCCTGGCTTACCATTCCCTCAATTAGTGGCTAATGAAGATTTGCGCATTAAAACGTTTAAGCTTTGACCTGATTAAATATTTAATTAGCTCACATTGAATATTATGGCGTTGCTTGATGAGGTTCGTATGCCTTCTGGCCGTACCGCATGTCGTATACGTGATATTTGACAAACATTTCGCTGACACATAAATTGGAAACACAGCAACAGCAACAGCATCAGCCAAATTGGCAGCCAAATGCATTTTTAATTCCAGGTGGGCGTGGCAAGGTAGGCGTTTCGCTCGGCTCTCGCGCTTTTAAACGCTGTTAAAACGTTGTAAAACGCTGGCAACAGCAATCGCAGCCCTTGCAGTCGGCCAATTTGTGCAAATTGAGTCATGCAATTAGTTGCCATCCCCAGCCTCAGCTGTTGACTATGGCCAAAAGCTAAAAGAGACCATTTTACAGTTGTTTTTTTTTTTTTTTTGCTTTTTTTTTGGAAAGCTGTTCGTGCTGAAATTCCAGTCAACGTTTACTTCAAGTGAAAGAATACAATTGTTTCGAAGGTAGAAAAGATATGTATATTTAAAGAAAAGTATACAGCAAATAAATATCGTGAATCAGCATAAATGAAAAGGAGAGCTACAGTTAAATTTAAACCAACTGCAAAAAGTTCAATTAATATCCAATTGAAGTTAATTTATTGTGATACAAAATGCTTTCAAAATGTAAATTGTATATTAATTACTTTTAATTGATTGTAAATGGAACAATATTGCATTACTCTCATGTATCAAGTTATTCAATAATTTAAACTGAGAAGGCTCGTATAAGCAGCTGACAAGCTCCCAGGTTACTTTGAGCTCTTGAACGGACTTACGGCAATTATTGTACGTTTAAAATTTAATTTAACGGATTTACGACAATTATTTTAAAGTTTTATATATAATATGGAAACAGTTGAGCTGCTGCAATGCAAATCTCTCCACTTGGCCTCACTTCACAGCTGGCACCAGGTTAGCTGAAATGCGGTCAATATCTTACGAGTACTATTCAGAATTGACATAGTTTTCGAATTTCAACAACTCTCAAGCAGAACGAAATACTGCAAAAGTTTCCACATATTCTTAATTAATGCAATGGGAACTTTTTCCGCAGAGTATCTATAGAGCTGCACAGTCTATCTATATAGATTCGATTTTCTGTGTGCCCATTAGTCAGATGTATGTCGTTTGGCTTGACTGCTGCATTTGCTGTATGTCGCTGCTATGGCATTGATGAATTATATATTTGATTGGGGCAGGCTGCATGTTATTTAAATTGCAGGAGTGCTTAAAGTGCGACAAATGCTACTCAAATGTTTATTTTATGTTGATGAACTTGATGGCGAATGATGATATGTGTATATGTGTGTGGGTGTGTGTGTGTGTGCCAAAAGGGAAATTACCGCAGCAAATTAGAGAAAAATATTCGACAGGATTAAGCTGTCAAAGCCATTTCCGTCGCTCCTCTGACCTATTTGCCCATCTTATCGTCGCTATCTGCCGGATTTATCCGTTCCAACTAGCAAACAGCTATGACGTCGGAAATGGCTCTGCTGTTCGCAATTTGATAATGCTTCGCTGTGTGTGTGTGTGTATGCGTTTGTGTGTGTGTGTGTAGTCAGTCAAAAACGAGTGCAATGGAAATCGTATGGAAAAACACAGAAAAAAATAAGGAAAATAGAAAACTCTTCTTTTTCTTTCATTTTGAGCTCTCAACATCGAAGCGCTATTGCATTTTGTCCTGGCCATGGAGGTCAAACTATTCACTCGAGTAGGCGAGAAGTGCGATCGAGTTTTTTTCTTTTGCTTAAGGACGTCTTAAACTTTTCATAGAACTTAAAGTTGCTCCACTTTGCGAACTGCACAAATTGTCATCCGAACTGCTGAGAGTGTACAGAGCTCAATACAATACGATGCACTGCAGCTCACAATTTGCAGCCAACTAAATTTGCCTCGAAGGCAATAAAACACTGTCATATCATATATCGACTCTGCCATAAAACATTCTCTCTTTGAATATCGACATTCACTGCCAAATGTAAATTATTAATAACGTTAAAATTATATTATGTATATTATATAATATTACTTTATGTATTATATTAAAATTATTACTGAGGTACAGTTTGTCTAAGAAGAGCATTTTATTTAATAAATATTTTATTCAATGAAAATTTATATTATAATACATACAATTAAGTCCCCGTAATTCGAAATGACAAGGGGATCAGTTGTTTATCGATTTACACAGAAATTCAAATTATCGAGAATTATCGAAAATGTTTTATCAAGGGGATAGAATTTTCTTCAATTTATTGCAATTTTCGATTTAGCAAGGTAAAAATGATCGAGATTCGATTATAATATAAATAATAATGATATTCATTTTGCGCCAACATCTTACGCAAATATCATTTTAACTAATTCGTCGAGTTTATAATAATTATTAATTATTACTATTTGGAAGCAATTATTACGTTAAATAAAACGAAAATACATACAATGTGTTTGATGATCCTAAAAAAAACGATAGAAATAAATTATTCCATATATATAAAATAAATAAAAAACGTTCATTGATTTTTTCTTATACATATATTTATTTGCCGTTTCATTTGCAATTAAATGGATTCGAAAGCAATGCTCACTCAATTCATCTGCATGCAAAGTGCTCATTAATATCATTTCAGCCTCAAGCCAATTGCCAGATAGCAACTAGCAACTGCTGTACCAGCAACAACAGCAACAACAACAATAGCAACCACGCCTTAAAGCTGTACATAACCCACCTGCTTTCGGCTTAATCTCGCGCCCAACTGTGCCAAGTGCTACGTGATAAAATAGGTGCTGCATACGCCAAGGCGCGCGCATAACTCGATTACGGCTTTGATTTATGGCACGCAATAATAATAATCAGCATTGCATGTTGCCGTCGGGTCACTCACACACACAAACATAGACAAATATTCAAGAAGTGAAGAGAGCAAGGGCTCTGTTTATTTTCTGTACTTGCTTCCCAAGAATAACAAACAAGGCGTATACTTAATGTGTACATAGACTATGCGCCTCTGTATATATACATTTGTATGTCTATACATATATAAGTTCGTTCACTGATAGCTAGTTGGTTAGCCCTGTGGCAGCTGCAACTCAACAACAACAAGTTGCACTTCCGTCAGCTGAAAGTTGGCCTTTGGAGGCAGGCGGGAAAAGCCAACCGCAACTAGCGCTCATGATGAGCTTGCGTCCTTGGTGGGGCATCCGCTGTGCACTTGGCTGGCTGCCTGGCCCCATGATTTATGTAATGTTTTATTCTGGCCCATTGCTCATGTTACTTTTCTGGCTCTTTTCAGCGATGCTTGCCTCATTAGCGACTTAGCCCCCGACATCCCCCAGCTGCAGTAAGGTAACGAAAGAGGAAGCCGAAACTAAAACCAAAAACCCAAACCAAAACCAAGCCACAAGCAAGGAAAAAAGAGAAGCCTGCTCTACAAGGATATGCGTAAAATGGCTCAACAGCCAGCGAATTCAGTTAATGAGTTGGCCTTTATGGGCGTATAAAAAGCAAAATTGATATTATGCTGAGGCTGGGCCTATAAATAAATACAACAAATTAAAATTAATAAGCAACAGAGCTTGAATTGCATAGCAACAACAGCAGCAGCAGCATAGGCAGAGGCAGAGGCAGCAGGAGCAGCTCCGGCATTCGCATTCGCATTCGCATTAGCATTAACATTTAGATTAATAACCATGGCATCTCCGCCGGAAAGTCCCATCGAGGAGGTGGTCTATGAGTTAGAACACACACGCGTGCCTAAGCCCATTCCGGTCGCTCTCGAGGACTTGTGCCGTCAGACCAAGTTCACCAAGCAGGAGATTCGCGTCATGTACAGAGGATTTAAAACGGTAAGTGGACACGCGCAGCATCTCGGCTCCGGGTAGAGCACAGTGCAATCCAATGGTCGCATTTGCTGTCATTCGCAAATTCATAAACAATCGCATTTGATCCAAGTAAATGCCATGAACTTTGCGCTTTCATATTTATACGAATATTAATATCTAAGCACTCAAATCTATGAGCGCAGCGCAGCGAAGGACACGCAGTGAATGGTTACCGAGAGAAAGAAGCAGAAAAGGGCAAAAAAGTAAGGGAAAGAGAGAGAGAGATAATCACAGACAAGCAGACAGAGCGAGATGGAGAAAACCTTAGAGGAGGAAGAGAGAGCGACACACAGCGTAAGCGAGACAGTTAGAAAGAGTGAGTTAGAGAGATAATGTTAGAGAGAGAGAACCAGTGAAAGAGGTTGAAACAGAACCAGACAGAGAAAATATCGAGATTGTAAAAAAATGCGAGCGAGGTAGATATAAGAGAGCGAAAGATTGATAGAGAGAGGGAGTAAGAGAGTGAGAGAAAGAAAGAGAGAGAGAGAAGCTCTCTTACATAAGTGAATAAGTCTCATAGAAAAAACATAGAGGCAGACCGAGAGTGAGAGACAGGTGAAGTGGGAGAGAAATAAGAACTGATAGCTTAAGAGTACATATGAAGTCTTTTTTTGTCCATATATCTATTCGAATGTCTGTCTGTCTGTCTCTGTCTGGCTTTGTGTATGCCTGCAAGGGACGAAGAAGAACTACAGAAGATCATTGCAGCTGTCTATATGTATGCAGCAGTATTAATTTGGTATTTATACTTAAGGAGAATGATTGCAGCAGCAGGCGGTGTTCCCATTGGTCACTTTAGGCTCAACATTTGAGCGCAAGTTAATCTTTGAGTGAGAGTCGCCCTATATAAAGGGCAGCAACAGCAGAATTTCTTCAGTCGCTCAGGCCCAGTGGGGTCAATCGTGTACTACAATAAAGTGAAGTGAAGTGAAGTGTGATCGTTCAGCTAAGCATTAGAGGCAGGGGAAATACTTGGAGGAAACACTTTGAGGAAATACATAGAAGAAATACTTAAAGGAAGTGCTTAGTAAGAAAACTTAGAAGAAACACTAGAGAAAATAGCTAGTGGAAATACCTAGAGAAAACGCTTAGAGGAATGACTTCGTAGAAAGACTAATAGAAATACTAGAAAAAAATATTTAAAAACAAAAGAGGATGTGATAAATACAACAAGCATAAGAAAAATCTCTTTACTGAAAATATATTTATTCAGCGCAAGGGAAACTGCAGACAAAAAGCGTTCAGATTATGTTTTTATTCAAAAATTGGCAAAATGATTAACATATGAAATGATTGTAATAATAAAGAGCATTGCTCAGTACCGCTCAGCATATTTAGATTTATAGATGGTAAGAAATTGGATGGGTGGGTTACTCAGGCAACCCGTTATATTTGCCCTCATATTTTCACAGAAATTTTCTTTTTTTGCCTTTGCAGGAATGTCCGGAGGGTGTGGTGCACGAGGATTGTTTTAAGGATATTTATGCCAAGTTCTTTCCGCATGGCAGTAAGTGTGTATATATGTATACATATTTCTATAATACAACCGCATTATTGTGTGTGTATGTGTGTGTGTGTGGATGCAATGGTTACTTTTATAGCTTTGCGCCACTTAAGCCCCCACATTTCATTTATATGTGCGAGTTTTTTTCGGAGTTGCTGTCGCTATTTTGAGCACTCAGTGCGAGTACTAAAACATTTTCAATTTTTCCATTTCCACAGATTCCAGTTTATATGCTCATTATGTGTTCAAAGCCTTCGACGTTAACTGCAACGGCGCCATTAGTTTTCGGGTAATTATAATCATTATTAGAGACATTTCATAACTCAATCAACATTTCTATATACTTATATTGCTGTATTGCTTTTTAGGATTTATTGGTCACTTTGTCCACACTGTTACGCGGCTCCGTTTATGAGCGTCTGCGCTGGACCTTCAAGTTATACGACCTCAATGGCGATGGCCGCATAAGTCGCGGAGAGCTGAGTGAAATCGTTCTGGCCATACACGAGCTTATGGGCAGAAGAGCTCACCAGCCCGAGGACGATCGCAAGGCCAGAGATCAGGTGAGCTGAACAAATGGTTTTTGGCAATAATTGATATAGAATCTACGTTCATCCCGAATAGCGAAACTAGGGAGATATTTATAAGAGATACAACTTTAATTTGTATTGCTATAAGGTACAATCGCTCTTCGACAAACAGTTTAGCATAGATCTCCGTAATTCTTAAAGTGCAGCATATATCGCTGATCTCATTCAGTAGCTATATAAAAAACTTTGTAGCTGAGCCATAATTGTTTCATTTAAATGTAAATAGAGACCCAAATATATTAAGCTTATGCCAAATTGTAAGCAAACAGTATTGCAAAAATATTTAAAATACATCATAAAATGAGGCAAGTTTATATTTCCTATAGCCTAATCTCTTATCAAACGTTTATAATAACACATTGATTTTATTTCTATTATAAAACATATAATTATATAATCCATATAAGCACTAGCGCTCTAGATATTTTCAAACTGTTCGAAAATTGTACATCAAATATGTAATACCTCTTTATCTATATATTGAATTTTATCTCCACATTTTTTATTTATTTATTTATTGTTGCACCTTATTGTCTGTGACCCGGAATGTCTTCTCTAATTTTAAAAACTATATACAACGTAACAATATTTTCAAATTGATTAAAGTAGAGTAGAAGAACTTTATAACTAGACCATCTATTCTCCACTGGTGAAAATTCAATTATAGCTTAATAAGATTACGCACAGGCCACATACGGACGGGCAGCAAAATATGTACATGCATATTTTATGGGCTCTACCACGGCGTCTACTGTCCGTTAATTTGATTTTCACAAAAACATTACAATCGAAATTCCCATGAATTCACATGAAAATGAATATTATTTCGTGGAGCACATGCAATTTTCAATCCAAGTACATTTATGCAGCAAATATTTGTACACATTTTGATTACAAAATGCGAATCAATTTCAATGCAAATTCGTTGCAAACAAATTATAGCAAAAATGCGTATGAATTATGAAATTCTAATGCATTGATGTTGAGTGCAATTCGGTTTACGTTTGGTGTGTGTGTGCGTGTGTGCGTGTGTGCGTGTGTGCGTCCTTTGTTATGCAGCATTCTTTATGCAACAGCTGCGCTTGAAATGCTCGTGCAGCATCCGTAGACAGGCAGGTGCAGTGGTGCAGTGGTGCAGCGGTGCACAGGGACGCGGCTTACGCGGCGTATGAGCAATTACAGTTACGCAAGCAGAGAGAGGATGGTTGTGTGCGTGTGTGTATGTAAGGGGAGCTGCAGCTCATGGGAAATGGATTGGCAACGCAAAGCACCGGAAATGTTATTTAATGAAAAAGGCTTTGAGTAAATTAATTATGCAGGTGAAAAGTCAGGGTATGCGGGGCAGTCAGAATGGATGGCAAAAACTTTGGCAAGGGAAATTTATTAAAATTTGATATTGGAAACTAGTTGATATGAAATGAATTTGTTATTTTGCAGGTGGATCGAGTTTTTCGCAAATTGGATTTGAATCAGGATGGCATCATAACGATAGAAGAGTTTCTGGAGGCATGCCTGAAGGACGATTTGGTGACACGCTCATTGCAGATGTTCGACACTGACCTTTGATGACAAGAGGAACCAGAGATCCGAAATACAAGGACTATAATACCGCTTATAGATCTATAAATTGTTGTTTTGGATTAAACGGTCGACAGGAGACATAGAGCGACAGAGACATACGATGAAAAGAAACAACATATTAGTATTTAATATTATTTCTAGGCAATAATATCGAACGACAAACTTGAACATTTATAAATGTGAGCAAATGACAAGAGAGTTGAATATAAATATTGAATATATATATATGTCATTTTTTAAGCATATTACGAATTAAATCCTGCCGTCAGAAGCGAATTGGTATTATACTCTTGATGTACTTATTGAATGTATTTCAAAGTGTTTCAAAGAAAAGCAACTTTGCTTCTTAATATTGAATGAACAAACAACTAAACAAAACCACCAACCAAAGTGAATAAAAAACAAATAACAAAGAACTTGGAAACGGAATTGGTTACATGATAACAAAATAAAATCCAACACGATTTACTTTACACATAAACGAAAAAAAAAAAAAACAAGAAGAAGAGAAAAGCCTATTGTATAACAGCAATTTATACACACACACACACACACACTCAACAATATGCATAAGTAATTGACATGTGTACATACATATATGTACGCACACACATACATACATAATTACATCCGTTCATATAGTGTGTCCATTTAACATACGTACATACATACATCCATTACATACATGAATATGCGTTTGTGCGTGTTTTTTAATTGCTTAGCTCAACTTTTGCAATTGCATTTAACTCTGCCCAATTGTTCATTTCGCACTTCGGCGTATAACAAAAACAAAACTTACTCAATTTAATTTTAATTTGACATATATTTTTTCATATGAATGATGAATGAATGCCACTGAATATTTTTTTCTGAACTTTACAGTCAATTAAATGATAAATAAAATATTCAACATTCAAATAAGCTGAATTGAGTGACGTACAATTTTTATTATACATTAATTTGACAAATTTAATTATATTTTAGAAATCTATTTTTGCAAATGCAAAGCAACCACCGACAACAACAACAAATAGCTCTTGACGATTAAAACCGCTGTTATTGAATTATGAAGAGCTCAGCGCTCGACATAGGTTTTCAATTAAATTTGATATGCTTTCATTTTATTTATTCCACAAATGCATTATTAATGCATATGCCAAAAGCGAGCAAAAAAAAAAAAAAAAAAAACACAAAACCAGAACAGGAAAAAATACAATAGTAGCCTCGAACCTTGTACAACATGCAACATGCAACTGCTTGTCGCTTGTGGCATATACTTGTAGTTTTTTTAGCCTATGGTCTAAATGTAAAAATAGGGTATATTGTTTGTGCAGAAGGCGTGGCCAATCCCATTAGGTTGATATATTCTGGACATCGCACGAGCTGATTCAAGCGAGGCATACGTGTCTATGCTTTCAAATATCCGTCTATGACATCATCCAGCTCAAGATCTGAAGTCTATAATGTAAATTTTAGAATACTATATTGTACAGAAGTATTGTATGCATATTCTCATTTCATTCATAAATACTTGCACTTGGTTTCTAAGCATAACTTGAGAGCCATTAATTCTCATAAACAGTTTACTTTGTTCTTGGATATCTCTAAAAATTATTAAAAAATTAAAAGCCAATACAAATTCTTAAGAATAGTCTATCTAGACCTTAATTTTCTTAAATAATTATATAATATAAGTAAAAATTGTTAAGTTATTGGAGTACTTGGAATATGTAAATAGTTCATACATCCACATCGATGATTTTATTACATTTATACAACTAGAAACAAAGTTCATTCATATTAAAAATTAAAACAGCAGCTCGTTGCAGGATCCAGGGTATACACTAGTCGGATGCACCCGACTAGCGCATTCATATTTATATAGATTATTTTTTTCAGTTTAGTTAAAAGCTAATGCGCCACGTGTGGCCTACTTTTCAAGAACTACATTCAAACAATAGGAAACTATAATTTAATCGTTAGCATATCAGCGGCCAGAGATGAGATTGAGATGAGATGGGCTGACTCAATACAATTACCCGAGCTGTTCGAACATTTAACATTGCCTCAATGCACGACAGCAGCAGAAGCAGCTATAAAAGAGAATAACACACAAACAAAAACAAAAGCAAAAAAAAACAAAAAACAAAAAAAAAAGAAAGCAACCAAACAATAAAAGTTTATTTTACATTGTACCTTTCATACACAATACAATTGTTGTTTCAGCAAAAGTTTTATATTTATATTCAATACACGTTGCGTTCGTTGAATGCAACTGTGCGTAGAGTCGAGACAATCAATGTGGTTTGATATAATTCCCCTTAGTTATACACACGCTCTTCCATTATGATTCTAAAGCAACAGCCTAGTACTTATGTAGGTCTATTGTATTATTTGTGAAATTCTCACAATGCAAAACGTAATATCAAGTCTTGAATTGGCATTTCAATTTTCGTTGATTATCTTATGCTCGTTCACTAAACTAAGGGAGCATATTGGTTTTGTGCTATGTCCGTTCGTCTGCCAGAACGTTAGAGCTATGCAGTCATACAAATGATTCATCAAATGAATCACAGATCAATATTCAAAAATAAACTCTAAAGTTTTTAAGTGCGCTTGCAAAAATCAATATCTCTGAATGAATTCGAACTCTTTTGAACCCGGAACGAGTGTTACTTGTTTGTCTGAGAGCAAAGTTTATAAAACAGACTTAACGAAAAAGAAAATAATAACTTAGGTGAAAAAGATGAAGAGGGCATCTTGAGCAGCGGTTGAGTTAATTGAATTGATCATATTTTAGGACAAAATATATTTTTAAATTAATAAATAAAAGTGTTCTGGAGATGATTAACCAAGCTGGAATTAACCACTTGAAAGGTATTTGTAAAAGGGAATTTCTTGAATATGAATTACATAGGAATATCTAAAAAAAACTTCAAGTGATAGAGCTCTTCTGTTTTTAGATTCCCATACCATCACTTAATCAAAAATATACCCTTAAATTGTATGCCTATTCAGTTCACTAACATCTAACGTATCCCAAATATCATGAAGAGGTTCTATTGTTAACTAACCTAAATATAATAATGGCAATATTAACAAATGAGCATCAATATCAGTGTTACGGAAAAAGAATGAAACTTTAGATAAGTGCTGCAAGTGAATGTCCTTAAACTTGAACTTAATCTAACTATGCGACCTATGTAATAAACCACTCCGAGATTCAACCTACCTAGTTTTTGCATGGCAACTGCCCAAGCAAAGGAAACTCAGCTCAGAGTTTAAAGAAAAGTAAAACATATACTAAAATTTAAATGTCTAACTAGTCAAATACTAAAAATGAAATGGAAACGCTTAAAACTTTATTCGTTAAATATATAAATATACATATACCTAAATATATATGTTATATATTTAATCGATTGATCAACTTAATGCTAAATCAAACATCATTGTCATTGTTTTTAGCAACTGAATGTTTAGTAAGAATAACTAATTTGTGTAAGTGTCTATTAATCCCAAATGGAACTATCTACAAACATATATGTATTATATAGTTTGTATATATATATATTTAATTTGATGACGTTCTATGAGTGTAGCTAGCTAACCAAGAAAATAACCTTAAAAGTGTTTAGCAACTATTTTTGACATAATTCAAATTAAACATAACAAACGAAAATTTATGTATTTTTTAACTAAATATATTGCATTCGCATTTAGTTGAAACTAAATTAAATCAAAATGTACCTAGTAAATGTAAATTATGATAATAATTTTTCCAGCATAAGCTATTTAAATTACGATTAAATGTGTAAAAAAAAAAGGAAGAAAGTCATGAAATGAATATCGAGGAAAGTTCATTCATTTCATAGCTCTGCTAGATTACATAAATTCTATTACTTATCATTTTAACCGAAAGGAGAAGAGGAAACCCTACTATTAAAGTACTTAACAGCAGCAAACGTGGTTAGTGATTTGAATTGTTTATAAGTAATCGCCATAATAGGAGATCCCAAATCACATGGATAATACCTAATAACATACTCTAATTAACTATACTTGAATATTTGTTTAATCGTCTAACACATAAATATGTATATGCATCCATGCTAAATAACTATTCAAGTCAAGTCCAATCGAATGGAGTCGACTCGATTCTCTCTTAATATTTGTGGTAAATCTTTTAATTAACATAAGCATATGGAATTTAATGCATGACAACAAAACCAAAACACACAAAAAATACCAAAAAATCAATCTACTCTTCAAACAAACAAAATATAATGTTTTCTTCAGTTATATGAACTCGTTAGAGCTTAAAATAAAAAGTAAAAAATCGTGTCTATATGTTAATCTAGATTGATGTCACACTGTTTGCCAAAACAAAAATAAATTCCATACCAATATCAACTAGCTTTTAGTTCTCAATTATGAATTATGTTAATCCTTAAACATGATAAAAAGTGAAAATAATAACTCAAAACTGGGCAAAATATAACAATTTTAATAAAAGTAACAATTTAATAATAAACATATGTATGAGAGAGTATTTTATTTTCAGACATTCGGATGCGAATTTAAAGAACAAACTATATTGCAATATAGTCTTGGAAACAAGTAAGTTCAAACAGCTCTGTCAACAGAATAAAAAGATCTGTAACAAGCTTAGCTCACAAAAAACTTTCAACCCTTTTATTCTATACGCTCAGCTCTAGAGATCATCCCAAAATAGTTATATCCACTCGATCTCAATCTGAGCAGAAGCCTTTGGTTCTATTCGTTTCTGTTTTCGGTTGAGCGCCTTGCTTCGACCTGTTCGAGTAAAACTCTTTTAAAGAACGTAGTTCATATACGGTTTTTTTTTTCTCAGATAAAATCACTTATTTTGAGACATCGAGAAAAGGTCAACAACAATTCAAGCTGAAGCTATAGAGTACACCTTACTTACGACCCCTCTAATTATAAATTTATTATTACCTCTCTGATATTAAAAACCCGATAGAGATGAAGAGCGCTTCTTATAGCTGGGGTATAAACTTATATTACCTAAATAAAAAGCCTAACTGCACTCCCACAGAAGAACCTAGACTTATTTTACAGAAATATATTCTATTTAAAACATTATAGAGTAATTCGTATCTAGGATCTTGCCCAAAAGATTATGGAAGTCACATTTTGTTAAATAGATGTTTATTTATTTATGAATTTTCTCCGAGTGTATTATTTCATGTATTGAATTCGGCATTTATGCATTTGACTGGGAATATCTATAAATTATACAAGAGATTGTGTTTGAGTGGGTGTATCTTATCATAACGTTTTTCAGAAAATGTTTCTATTTTTTTTTATTTTTTATTATTTAATTGCGGTTGTTGAGCATCCATGTTTCAGAATATATTTATATTGCTTCATGTGCTGTTTTTTGTTTATTTTTTTGTTTTTTTTTTGTGTTTCAACTTATAGCAATTTTCAATTTGGGATCAACCATATGAAATATGTTTATATTAACTACTTTCTTAACTTGCATGATCTTCACTTGGTTATACGAATGTGTAATGAATATATATGCCTTTCATATGCCAGCATTAGATTTAGAATTGTTTATTGAAATATATTTTGATAGTTTGATTAATTAACTTTTTGTATTTTGATGTAATGGTTTTGATTCTTAATGATTTATGATCCGTAAATCGGAATCATATGAAGGTTTTATGACACTCACGTTTATTTAATATTAAGTTTTCATGAATGTTTAATTAAATTTCTATATATATTTGCTGTTTTTTGTTTTTTTTTTGTTTTTTTTTTTTTCATATACATGTGTATATATAGATGATTCGCTACATTTCCAACTTTTTTATTTTTGTTTGTTGAGTTTGTTAAACATGTTTATTATTTGTGAAATGGCTTACTTAGACTACATTTTAAAATTTAACTCCTTTTGCACGAACATTTTTACTTCACTAAATCAAAAATTGGATTAACTACTATAAAATGTAAATAAATCTTTACTTTTTGATGTGTAAATTTAAATATATATATTTATTTATTTGTATTTGTTTACGTTACTTGTAAAGTAATATAAATGTATTATAATTTTGTCATTGGATTGGTTGTAGATTTGATTAACTTGAACGTTGCGAAGGGTACAAAGTATGACGCTCATTACCATTAACTAACAACAAAATTCATTTAACAACAATAAAAATACAAAATTCGTTTTTGCTTTTCGGTTTTATGAGAAATGAAAAATACATGGTACAAAAAATATATACATATGTATGTGTAAATATATATGCATTGGATGTATGTATGGGCTCTCGAGGTTTAATATAAATATAAATTCATTACGTACTTGCATTAATAGTTGTTTAGGTTACATAGTAATTGTACTTGAATAAATTAAATAATAAATAATTTATATATATGTTGATTCGAAAAATATTTAGTTCGTCATAAGTATGTATGAAAAGGTTGACAGTTTTATTTTGAATGTATTCAATAAATGGCAGGGTATTTTACAGAGAGCTGTTAGCTAACAGCATGTTTAATAACAGTGCTTGAACGAAAGCAGCGCTTTGAATGGCAGCTAATGTTATGTTGTCAACAGTGCGCTGTTACTTAACACTCGATGTTAAAACAAATTTTGTTTTGGTAAATACATAAATTATTTGGCATTTAATTTCGTGAAGCTCAACAAATTTCGTCTAATATTTAACTATTCACTTTAGCACATGATTTCACACAAGAGAAATAATTCCAATTTTTTGGGTTTGGATCTTTGGATGGCAACACCGAATCAGAACTTAATGTGGGCATTGACATAAACGTTTTCACTTTTGGAATGCTCCTTCGCTAGATTCTTCCTAAATTGTGCGTACACTAATTGGCATACGATTCAAAAGTGTGTATTTTCTAACAAAATCTATGATTGCATTTAAACTTCCATTTTTTTGGCAAATCAATTTTTACTTTTGTGCTTAAATAGCTAATGTACGATTTGTATATAGTATGCTTGTGTCGTACTATATTTATTTTTGTTTCTAAACATTATGCTTTCTTTAATTTGAAACTTTTTTCCTTATGCGGTTAGATTTATCCTAATATTAAGGAATTTACTGCTGTTTTGTATTGATTTACGTTAAGTTTTCTATTTTGTTTGCTAGTGTAAAATGAGATTTGTTTTCCGTTTGATTTCAATATAGAAATATTTTAGAAAAATTGTTGCGTATCAAGTTCATATAAAGTTCGTTCAATTTTCTTGACTCTCTGTCATCTTCAAATCGTCCACAATTGCTCAGTTTGTTGCTTATTAAAGTACTACAAAAGTGTTTGTTTTAAAGTATTTGCATGGACTGACAGCCTCTAAAAACCTAGCCAGCTACAGCCTTTGCTTACAGCTATTGCAAAGTGCCAACAGTTTGCTGTTTGCCGTTCGCTATTTGCTGTCAGTGCTAAATGCATTTCTGTCGCACCAATTGTTGTTGTTTTTAGTAACGCCTATGCTTCAGCAGTTCACATTTGGTTTGTTAGTACTTCTCATCGTCTGTTATTTCCCTATGGGAATTCTGTAATTCTCAGGCCTTGTAGTGCTGATTCCTCACCGCACAGCACAGGCTCAGGGCGAAGGTCAACGAGAGCAGCTCCAGCAGAATGACAGCCGCAGTAACAGCAAAGATTGTGACCCAGTTTTCATAGATAATTTCAATCAGCTTATCAACGCAGCCCTGTAAAGAGAGAAGTACATAAACAGTTAGAATCTATCTATAATTCTTCAGTTATTTTTCCAGTCATAGAATTCAAATGTTTATTGTTTGTTTATTATGCGATTGCCGCCATAGGAGAAGTTTCTCCTCAAGCAGTTTCGATGCGTGCGGAATATCAATAATAATTAACGCATTTTGAGTGTCTTTGTGTCACGCATAGAATTTTTATTAACTCAGGCGTGGAAAAACAATCAATTAACTTAAAGGATTATTAATTTTTATGATCAAACGATTGACGATGCTTAAAAATACCAGATAGTCGTCAAAGGCCAAAGAAGTTATGAAACGTTGGCAACTCAAAATAGAATCGATATCAGCAACAATTGCTTATAAAAGCAATTTCAATATGAGTTCATATTTATAATAACTAAAATATCATTTCGTTTGTCTACTGATTTCTTCTAAAACTAAATTTTCAATCTTACCTGCTGATAAATATACGTGTTTAATGGGCCACCAAATTTCAAATTGCGCCACTTATCACACTCGTTGTCCTTGATATCCTCTTTGCAACATGATTCTGGTATATTGTAGAGCACATTCATGGAGGATACGGCAATATCGACGATATTCGTGCGATCCACATTATTGAAACGACTCGTGGCCCAGTCGCCAGGTCCATCGGCTCCGCAGCATTTCAACTATAAAAAGATTTTTGGTTCGTCAATCACTTTAGCTTCAAATGATAATGCTTACATTCTTTTGTAGCGTATCGAAGGTGACGGTGCGTGAGCTCATGCTGGACTGCCCGTACTCCTCCTGCACAGATGACTTGACCGCCGCACGAACCATGTCATCCAATTTGTTTCTGTTGTGGAACGCCCAGGCACCGGCTGCTATTTGTGCGACCATCACAATGAGTATCACACAGAAGAACTGCAAGGAAACCGTTTATTAATTAATGGGCGTAAGTAAACAAACTGCAGTCAAAATTATTTAACGAATTGCGGTTTTCATGCGGCTCGTGGGCGAACCAATCCAGACAGCGTGGGCCAAGTGCGTGTGGGTCGAGTGATACTTTGCATTTTGTAATTGGATTCTGCAGCTGGGCAACACTTACCGAAACAAGCAGACATTGCGACTCGCGACAGACACCCAAACAGCCAAAGAATGCGCCCAGAGTAATAAATATGCCAATGGCCAGGAAGACATAGAGTGCTATATGATAGTGATTATACGATTGTGTCATCGATAGCATGAACGTGGGATCCGTTAGCATCCATAGTGAGGTGAGCACAATAGTCAAGCCGATTAGCTGAAAATGGTTTTAAAAAAATGAATGTAAGTCTTTAAAAATGAATCTTAAATAGGTCAGGCATTCATCTGTTCGTATTTAGTGAAGTAACATCATGTGTTCTTTACTCAATCTCATCAATCGTAACGCTAACAGCGAAATGCTTCAATGACGCAATGTTTATGTGTGGGTCTGTGTGTGTGTATGTTTGCGACACGCCCCACTAGAGAGGGCGGCAATTAAAGCGGGCAGCAAGAGTCGTGCCAAGAATGCGAACGTATTCCCCGGAACATTGTCTACCCGCCGATGGGCATTATGAAACATGGTTCGTTCGTAACTCATGATTTCCGCAGTCGGGCCGGGCAGACTTTTAGAAATGTTTCCAGCATTTCATGTCGTTATATTCTTGTGTTTATTTGTTTTAATGTGTTTACGTTTTCACGAAATCAAGAGCCACATTTTATTTTCTTTTTGCTTCGCCGTTGTTGTTGCCAAGACATTGAACCAATCGACAATGTGAATGCGAATTCATAGCCTTATCTTGGGGCTGGGAGATTATCAGGCGCGGGACGTGAAATACGCCAGTTGATATTGGCATCTGTCTACACATATTAATTTTATACTATACAATACTCAAAGCAGATTATATTCTTAATGAGCAGCAACAATTATATGTAAATTAATTTATGCAGTTTTCACTCACTTATCGCAATTAGCATTATACGAGGCGCTCAGTAAATTTTTAACACTCAACAGCCGAGTAAATGATCTATAAAAGTATGCCTATTAGACTTACAGTTTAGTGTTAGGCGAGTAATGGAAAGAAAATAAAATCGGACTACATACTATAGCTATATATTATAATATTTAATGATGTAATACAGTAAAATACTATTAGTTTTTGATATCAAACTAAATATTAGTATGCATTTAACATCAATCAATGTTGCATTTCTATGGAAATTGAAATTTATATCAAATATATGTATGGTATTATAAAATAATTCCAAGCATACATGCCGATATATACAAACATTTCAGTACTTACTACTACAATACTAATCTCATTTACTTTATGTGGAATTGTAGCAAGTGTTTTATTAAAATGTGCTTTAATCACACAGCTTGCTTTTGTATAACAGTAATAGTGATTAATAATAATGTAATAAATTGTTAATAGTATTTGAATAGCAAATTTTGTCTTTTTAATATAGTATATACAATTATTCTCTATTGACATTGACTCACTTCTTTGAGCAAGCTACAATTAATATGTTGCAATTAGTCTACTAATACTTGTGATACAGAATCGTGACCACAAATACCGCAACAAAAAATTAACTAAATAAAAATAAACTCAATAAGCGACTAAGACTTTATGAAACAATGCACAAATTAGCCGATCAAAGTTTATTTGCTTGAAGTTGCTTTAAACAGCAATCAACTTCAATAAAATGATTTAATTTTAGAACTTAAAAGTTGAATTTATTTTGATTTTAAGCCCTGATGCGAACTTCAACAACAAAATGTACAAAATTTGTACATAAAAGCAAAATACAAATCCTAAAAATAGCCTAAGCTTTAAATGCGGGTGGTCTTTCACTTGCGCTCTTCAGCACACTAGCGAAGTAAATGAGAGGGTAAGTGAAAAAGAGAGTGAGATAGAGGTATGCGCAAAGTCATAAGAAAAGCAGAATCGTTGAAAAAAAGGTCAAAGCAAAGTGCATTTTGATGCCCGTTTGTATGAATGAATCGGAATACAGCAACAAAACGCATAGCGTTAAAATACAAATGTTGCGAATGGCAGAAAATTGGTAGCATGTGTGTTATTTAAGTACATGGTGCATATAAAACAGACAAATTGTCGCGTGCAGATGAAATGTAGGCCAAATGTTTAATAAAAGTTTCAGCTCCTAGCATGACCTACATCACTGTGGACGTAGTAAATAAACAAGAAAGCAGAATCGTAAAAGAAAAATGTCCTCGGCACATTTTCCTTATGCAACTTTGATCGTTTAATTTTTATTTGTCGTTCATGATGCAAACGTATATAGTATGAATAATTGTGTGAAAAATAGCGCAGTGAATTATGAACAAAATGAAGGGGGGAAGGAGGAGAGCAAATCATATAAATTAATTGGTCGGCATGCGAGAGACGTCAGCAATGTCCACCAGCCAAGCCGGGAGGCAGGCAGGCAGAGCGCTTCTATCTGAATGACGGCATCTGTGGCGGTTGGTCGATCCGTCCGATCAGTCTGCTCGTCGGACAGTATCAATGGAACGTCAGAGCATCAGCGTCAGCTAACGTCGTGCCGCTTGATCACGAAGCCCCGCAGCGACGATGCTGATGGAAATGGAAATGTTATGGAAAACTATGTCACAGTGTTGCAAATATTCACGAACAAACTGCAACTGACTAAAAATATTGAATACGTCTTCCTTTTTAACTATCTGATTGTGTCATTATATTTAATCATCGTATCAATCATATTTAAAAATAGTTAAAGCATTTTAGATTAGTAGCAAACAAAATATAAGGAAAACAAATATTATAAATAAACGTTAATTCAACAAACATATACAAATTTATATTTATTTATTCACGAGAACAAACACTCGTATTTCATATAATTAAAATTTGTATTTAAAAAAGAAAATAGTCATACTTAAACATTAAAGAACAAAGCGAATTTATATAGTATTTTAATTATTATTTTCAAATGACCATATGCATATACATATATATCACAGTTCATAAATAATTTGCACCACTGTGACCAACAACAAAAATCTCCCACCTCCTCCCCCAACAAGAGGAGAAAATCAACATCCACATAGAATGAAAGCTGAACGTTGTTTTTGGTTTGTTCGAAAATAGATTTGACTAATAAATACTATAGGGAAAAATCGAAAAAGCAACAAGAAAATAACAACCAAAAATTTTTTTGAAACAAAATTGGAAAATACAATTTTACTCAAGAAAGACAAACAACATAAGACAAATAAGATTTCAAACGATGAATCAATGTGGAAATAGTAAATTGCGTAAAACTAAAAAGAAATACACTTTTACACACACACATACACACAATTCGTTGAACCCTTTCAGTGAGAAGCAACTGTAAAAATAAGAGAGCGTAGGCTTGTGGGGAGTGGCGCACCCAAAAGGCGCCAAATGTAGGTCCTGCTCCTACAAATATGTGTTTGTGTGTCTGTATATGTGTGTGCAAGTAAATAGATACATACACACGGGCGTTAAAGCAATGAATGAACCGTTGCTTCACTTTTGCTGTAGATAAGAAATTGAAAAGAACGAAGGTGTAGCAAGAAGCAACGCTCAAAACTAACAACAACAAGGCACGCATACTCGTATAAAAATAAAAAGCCAACAGGAAAAGGCCAACAAGAAAACAAGACAAACGGCATATCTCAATGTGTGGGAGCAGCACAAATGAGAGGGGGAAAAGAAGAGCGCGATGCTTTCGCTGCTTGTCTGCCTGCTTATTTGTGCTCCGCGTGTGTATGTGTGAGTGGGTGTCGTATACTCTCCCACCCACAACGGAACTTCTATTGTTTATTGGAGTAGGGAGTGAGCAGCAGCAGCAGCAGTTGAGAGCGTGCGCGCGAGCACAGGCTAAGGCATAGGGAACGCGCACACATACACTTATAAACGCGCCATCTATATCTCTATTCATGTGTTCCAGTTGCTGTTTGTATTAGTGAGATGTCTGATTCTGTGTTGTTACTGTTACGGTTGTTGTTGTCTGCTGGCATACCTACCCAAAATAAGATGTTTATAAGGACCATCAAGTATTTAACACACGAACAGCAGCCGTTTAGACCCATTTTATGGTCTTTAATTAACTTTTTCGCACAGTTTTCGTTCAGTAAGACGGCTTTGTCAATACCGTGGGTTTCCTGCCGTTTTAAACTCAAGCTGCTTTGCTTTAGCCTCTTGCAGCCTTTAATGCACTTTTCTTATTCGTTGCAGTTGCACACTTTTAAAATTAATTTGTTTATCGTTTTTTACGTTAATTAATTTAAAAAAAAACACTTTTTACTTAAATCGCTACTATTCGTTTTATTTCCGTTAAACGCGTTGCATTTAACAATAATTTAAATTTTATTTGTACATCGAAGCATCAGCGGCGCTCTCTCAATCACGTCTGATTCAGTGTGGCCGCATATCAAATGGACTTTTATCAACTTATCGCTTGAATACTAAAATTCTAATCGATAACAAACCAAATTAAACGTTTTGCAACACTAATTCAAATATAACTTATTATTGAAAAATACAAATGAAATATGATTTTATACTAAACATGATACTTGTAAATTCAATTCAACTCATTAACTCATTTTAAATTAAAAGTAAAATATATCGATGTATATAAACAAACGATTGCACACATTTATATCGATACGCAAATATCGTCAAAGAACTGCAAACATTTATGGCTTCGCGGTGTTGGGCCACACTTGTAGTTCGTTGTTTTTCCATCAGAAAAAACAGTAAAGGAGTGCAAAGAAAAATAATAAAATAATGCATTATTAGTAATAAACTATTGAGTAACCAGTGAAAAGTGCATTAGCTGCAACTAATTCACAAAAAAATTAAAATGTGTGAACTAAGCATGTAGCAGCTGTGGCTTTTCACTAAACGAGAAGAAAATCGGTACAAAAGGAAAACAAAATACACAGCCAAACACGAATGTAAATGTGAATCGCAGGGCAAAGTAAGCACTGGCAATCCCCCAAGCAGGCGCTACACACACACAACCGCCCCCACTAGTCCAATTGTGCCCCACTAATACTGTACAAAACTTCGAGGTGCAATGAAATTGAAACAGGCTGCTGCTTGCGTCTAAGTTTTAAGTAATTAAAGACCAGCCCCCTGCCACACCTCTGCCCCTGTCCTTGCTTAACACACACATAGCCAAACTGTGAGTGAGTGAATGTGTGAGTGTTGTATGCTTGTAATTTTGTTACGCAGTGGAGCGGTGCGGCAGCCGTTCAAGTGGAGTCTAAACATTTTGTATACAAGAAAAAAATAAAAGCTTTGCCTGCGCTTTAAGGTTTGTTGTTGTTGTTACGGTATTTGATGTTGTGTACATAAAATTTCACAAGTGTTGCATTTGAATCCAGTTGCGGGCCGCCAAGTGTTGTTATTGTTTAGTGTGTGCGTATGGGTGCGCGCATGCATATGTGTGTGTGTGTTGCTTGGCAAACTTACGATTGAAGCAAAGCAAAAAGCCAAATAGCAAAATTCAGCAACTTGCATACAACTTACACACATACATACATATGAGAAAATAACCAAACATACATAGAAACCTGCATTTGCACATGTATACAGCCCTCATAAAACAATGTAAGCTTAATTTGAACTAAGTTTGTTGTTTTCACATACAAACATATTCATTTTGTGTAAGTAAATTATATATTAAAGAACTCCCAATAATAAAAAAAAGGTTGTTCCCAATCGTATGGCCTCGACTGTGAAGACTGTAGATATTTGGCTAGGTTTGAGCATGATTTCTCATAGACAAGCTTCACTTTCACCTTCCGTATAAGTAGTTTGCTTAGAGTAGCGGCCAGAGCTGACCAAAAACTTTGTACTTTAAGTTACAATTAAACACATGTTAAATTAGAAAGTGAACTTGTATATATCTTTATTTGATGTACATATGTACGTAAATGGTAATAGTTTCTCAATTTGCCTTAATTAATTAAGACTGTATTATTCGTCTGGGCTGTCGTCGCATAATATAATTCCAATTAGCCCCTTTCTGTCCCATCAGAAGATGACATCTAATTGTCTGATAATCTGCCTTTCCCGTTCCCTTGCGCGCTTCAACAATTTCAACAAGCGTGCAACGTGTGGGAACTGTTAAATTGTTGCATTGAAAAGGGGGACACACACACATTCCGATATTTCAATCATTTGCATGCTCCCCCACACACAGACACACACACACGCACACACACACAGCTACAGAGACAACATGTTACACTTTGCATTTCGAACAAAGCATATTATTTAGTCCGCGCAACGGCAACCCGCTTCAACCATAACAACAACAACAACAAATGACAACTAGCTAGGAAGTTGTTGGCAACTGTTTCGCTTTTGTCTTGTGCTTCATTTCTCTATTAACGAATCACTCTATTATCATTAACAGCGGGCTGCTGCCAACATTAACAGTAACATTGCATTAACATAGCACGAGTGCAACGACCAACTGAAGAACAGCCTCCGTTGCTCGACTATGTTATACCCTGTTTACAATTATTTGTGAGGATATATCATTTCATCGATTGAGTCTGACTCTGAGTCTGTAAATTTCTTTCCTGTTTCTCAAATAGCTTGAAATAGATCTGTTGTTTTCTAACCATATTCTTTTCAATAATTTTTATTTGAGATTAATAAAAACATATGTAATTTATATGTATTTCTACATTAATATATATTTTATTTTTTTAATTTCATTCTTAATAGAATGAAACTATTGCTAAAAGTATTATAAACTAAAATATGATTATAAAACTCATCCTAAACATTGAGATATGTATAACTTATGATCTTAATAACAATGATGGGTATTTAAAGAAAAGCTTGAGAAGCGTGTGTAAATTTACCATAGAATATGCTACAACAATAACATTTGACTACAACCACAACAGCGACGACAACAACAACGACAACGTAAAGTGGGCAAAGCATAGCAGAAACTGGGTAATACCTTTATAATTTATTCCAGCGCCTTTTGATGGCCTTCTTCTTTGTGCTTAGACCCGTTTTTATTTTCACACACCAGCAACAGTTGCTGGCTAACTCTGTTCCGCTTTTGTGGTAGGGTGTAAGAAGTTAGCCCGCATGAAAGTTAACCTTTCCGCTTTTGCTTCGACTTTTAAGGTCTTCTGAGCGCTAAACGAGTACTCAGCGAAAATCTTATACTCTATCATTGTTTGTTTCTTAATTGAGAATGTGTATGTGTGTGTGTGTGAAGCAAGTTTCAGGCGAGTGCAGCTGTTTAAAGTTACTTAAACAAAAAAAAAAGAAAAAACAAATAGACTAATGTCAACAAGGATTTACACATACACACACGCACTAATAGCGAGCAGTGTTTACTAAAGCAGCAAGTCTTATACAGACACCCACCGCAAACATATCTCAATTTTAATAAGCCAAATCAAATTTCAGTTTCATTGCAGCCAGCGGCCCACAGAGACAACAACGTAGCAGCAGAAGCAACGGCACCGGCAGAGGTTACAGATAAGCAGTGGCAGCTGCGCGCGCTGATAACAATCCATAGTAAAGACTGATACGGCACCCAAGCCTGATTCCGATTTTGACTCCGAACGCGTAGTCTCCTGCGTAGCGGCAGCGGCAGCGGCCATCTTTCCGTTTATCATTGACCGAGCATGTCGCACGGCAGCGCCGGCGCGCAAACTGGTGGTGGCGGCGTTGGTGGCGGCAGTGTCGGCGGCGGTGCAGCAGCAGCGGCCGCAGCAGCAGCAGCTGGCTCTGAATATCGTGAACTACATTGGACAGTGTCGAGCGTGATGGACTCGTCGCGTGTGTCCACCTGCCTAATATCGATGCTGCTAATTGTCTACGGCAGCTTTCGCAGCCTCAACATTGAGCAGGAGGCACGGGAGCGCGAGGCGAAGAAGCGCAATGAGTCTATGACGAATCTGCTAACAGGCGAGCAGGTCGAGAAGGAGCCAAGTAAGCATTAGCTAAATACACACATTGTTCAACCAATCCGTTATATTTATTTACGGAAGCATTGATTCATAGACGATTTCTTCATTTATGTTTATTTGCTTTCAACTCGAAAATAAATAACTCATTAACTCCAAATGTTTTGTTCATAATGTAAACAACTTTTATAAGCACCAGCAAATATTTCGATTCAGGCTTAAGCTTATGCGTATCATTTGCTATCATTACTAATTGACTTGCAATATCAAAAATTAATAGACTCGAATTTTGATGTAGCGGACAAGTTCGCCACGCTCGATACAATGCATGCACTGTGCCTGCCACTGGGTGCTTCCATATCGCTGCTCATTATGTTCTTCTTCTTTGATTCGATGCAGTTGCTGTTCGCCGTCTGCACAGCCAGTAAGTAGAGCATAGTATGCATAATCTGTTTAACTGCTCGCATTAACTATTTATTCACAGTTATTGCCACTGTGGCGCTGGCCTTCCTGCTGTTGCCCATGTGCCAATACATTATACGGCCCTGCACGGATGGCAAGCGCTTCTCCTTTGGGATCTGTGGACGTTTTACGGCAGCTGAGCTATTCAGCTTCACGCTCTCAGTCTCAATTGTGTGCGTGTGGGTGCTAACCGGGCACTGGCTGTTAATGGATGGTACGACAAATGAAGCTACGGAATATGCCACTTTATTTATATCGTTACTTTTTATGCATCCAATGGATCCATTTTAGCCATGGGCATGGGTCTCTGTGTTGCCTTCATTGCGTTCGTGCGGCTGCCAAGCTTGAAGGTGTCGACGCTGCTGTTAACTGGCCTACTGATATACGACGTGTTTTGGGTGTTTCTTTCATCGTACATATTCAGCACAAACGTGATGGTCAAGGTGGCCACACGACCCGCCGAGAATCCCGTTGGCATTGTGGCGCGCAAATTGAATTTGGGCGGCATTGTGCGGGATACACCGAAACTAAATTTGCCGGGCAAACTGGTTTTCCCCAGCATACACAATACAGGACACTTCTCGATGCTCGGCCTAGGCGATGTTGTTATGCCCGGACTATTGCTATGCTTTGTGCTACGATATGATGCCTATAAAAAGTCACAGGGCTTCACATCGGATCCAACGCTGTCGCCGCCAAAGGGTGTTGGTTCTAAGTTGACATACTTTCATTGTTCCTTATTGGGGTAAGTGGAACGAATGGATTACTTATAGTTTATGGTCTTTCAATTCGGTACTATCTTATTTATAGCTATTTCCTGGGTCTGCTAACGGCTACGGTTAGCTCGGAGGTGTTCAAGGCCGCACAACCTGCCTTACTTTATTTAGTGCCCTTCACGTTATTACCATTGCTACTAATGGCTTATTTGAAGGTAAATGAAATTCTCTCTAAACTTAACAAATAAATCTATTATTGTATTGACTTCTTAGGGTGATTTACGAAGGATGTG